ATGGAAATTAGGGCTTTGCGTGGGGGAGACATCTTTTGAAATGAGGTGAGAGAAGATATTAACTGGAAGCAGTTGCGAAGTAGCTACTATTTACGGTGAAGAGTGCTCTCAATGCTGCTTCCATTGCTACCGGGAGGAACTGCCCCATATATACCGAAAACTGAAAGAAGGGAAAGGTAGAACGCTCCGCTCAGCCGTGACATATGAGGTTATCCCAGCTGCTTACTGCATCAAACTCTGGTAGAGCACCACAGGACTGTCGTAGTTTACACGAATGGTGCGCCGAGGAAATCCAACACGGTTGGAGCTTTTCAGGGTTTACAGGATTGCCGAGCCTATGTCCTGATATTCAGCCCTAGAGCTTGATGGACAAGTTCGCCCAGCATCAAGAAATGCCGTCACATCTGCATGCAATACCAATACCGCGGATTAGTGAGCGTCTTGCAGGTAGAGTCTTGGCAGTACCCTGAGACGTTCCATATCAATGAATCATTCTTCTTCCCGCAGATCCGAGTCATGGGGCAGCGTCCGAGCGGGGTGTCCTTGCAGAGTGACACTCCTAAAGTATATCTTGCAGTGCTGTCTCGACAACCATTCAAAAAGCTCAATATGCTCCATGAAGTTGGTGCGAGCGAGGACATGCGTTCTGGTGAAGTGTTACTCAAAATCATTAGCTAACAGATAAGTCTTAGCGCCCTAACACGATCGGTGCTATTGCTACCGCCCGTCGGTGCGATTGTACTGAAGTATAAGGAAAACTTGTCGAGAAATATCGTCTTCAAGTTCAAATTAGGTATCTTTCCAAAAGGCATGTATGTAACGGGAATATATATGACCCAAAAGGGGTTATCAAACCAAATCGGAACAAAATCCAACCCCCTCTCTTAAAAACCAAACATATTCTTATCCTCTTCATATCCCAAATCCTTGAGAGACGGAAGCACAGCCTTCTGTATCAGCCCCGGTGGTCCACATAGCAAGGCGACATTCTTATCACTCGCTTCAAACGCATATTTCCTAATTATATCCTCCGTCACGAAGCCTCGTTCTCCCTTCCATTCATCCCCTGGCTTGGACAAGACATGCGTCACTTGGAACTGGTCGGGGTGTTCTTTCGACATTTCGTCCATCTCTGAGCGCATCAAGATATCGTTCTCGGACTTATTCGCATCGATGACTTTGATATTCGTCTGATCCACGGGGTCTTTAGAAGATAAGATGCGAGCAATGAGTTGGTAGCCCGGTGTTATTCCTGACCCTCCGAGAATGAGAGAGATATTGTCGAAGTGATGCTCGACATCGTCGATTAAAAAGCGACCATTTCCCGTGTACTTTATCTGGCCGGATGGACCCTTCACTTCGACTTCCTCGTTGTCTCGGAGGCAGTCGAGGACATTGCTCAGGGTTCCTCCTGGTTGGGTGTCGCTTGGGAAGTACGTCTTGACGACAAGGTCGAATGTTCCATCCACATCGTCCTCTTGAACTGGACGGGTAGGGGTATATGAGCGCATGACGAGTCGATCTGAAAAGTGAAAGCCTAATTGGATATGCTGGCATGTGCTAAGCCCGAGGCTTTTAGACCCCTTGGGGAGAGAGAAGGTGTAGCGTCTTGTATCTTTTGAGAGTTCCTCTTTGCCCATGAACCGAACTTGCTTCCATCTGGGGTCGTAATAAACGATTACTATCAGAGCATATAAATACAGATCAAGAGGAAGTCTTACCTGTGCCTGTCAAGTGCGACGGTTGAGTCCTTACTGGTGTCTTTTGCCCTCTCTTTCGCCACTTCTTCGGCCTGCCTCTTGATAAAATCCTTGGCCTTGTCTGTGATAGTCCCCAACACGCATTCTGCAATAAAGGAATTAGTAGTGGTCAACAACCAGAGAGCCAACTGAGACCTACCGCTGAGCTTCTGCTGCGCATAATCATCATGAACACTCTCAAATTCCTCCGTAGTATCCGCATGAACCTTCCCGGCATGTCCCATAATCGCAGCCTTCCCACCAGGATGCCAGGACAATACACTCGTCGAATCATATACTTTCCCGTTAATAACAATCCAGCAATCATCCTCCTTGTTGTGTTTCTCTATCTCTTGCCGGGTGAATTGCTTATCGGGTACCGATTCCTCGTTTTCGCGATCTTCGAGCGGATCTCCACTCGGCTTCATCCAGCCGCCTTCGCCAGCGCCAGGTTCACATGGGTGTTGGAAGGTGATGGACCATTTCCCAGTTTCTGCAGCTTTCTTTGCTTCGGAGCGGACGAGATACCAGCAGTTGTTCATCATACTATGTGTTTTCTTAACAATTCTGCACTTGGTATGTTTTCACGATTCAGGGGGCAAGGGAAAACATACCCCATAATATTCCAACTCGGATGTTCAGGCTGCGTGTTTTTAAAGACATTGAAACAGCGGACTCGAATCCCATCCGCATGAAGGAGATGGCTAACTTCAATGTCAATATACCAGTGGATCCAAGTCCAAAACTTCGTCCCATGACGAATCGGCGCATCAGGGAACTAAGGACATTGTTATGTTAGCCCATTCCATTCTCCATAAAATATAACAGGAGCCACCAACCTTGCGAACACAATATAACCAAGTCTCCCCAGCATCTAAACTGATCTCGACTCTCTGAACTTCATGTCCACCCCCATCATAAGCGTACCCTTGTACTCTATACATCTGGTTCTTCGCCACCGCGTCTCTATCAAGCTCTATTTTCTCCCCATGAGCAGGCTTGACAATAACCGAGTTTAGATTCTGCTCCCTACACTCCGTACTCGGATGCGAGAACATCGTCTCCGCAAACTCGGAGTCCTTTTCACGGATGAAACTGGGGAGTACCCGGTTATCGAAAATATGATAGTAACTATCATTTTCTTTCTCGGACGTCCATATTCTCGATAGCCATTTAACACATTTGCCACCGACGTATCCCGGGATCATCAGACGGACCGGGTACCCGTGGTCAGGCGGTAGCGGGTAGTCATTCATCTGATATGCCAGAAGAACATCATTCATCGGGTCCATAGCATATTCCAGGTCAAGGCAAGTCGAGTACTTCCCTCCACTAAGTTCCTCCGACCCCTCGAAGTTGACGTAACGACGGGTATGTGGATATCTAAGATCCGGCTTCTCAATCCCCGCAGCAAGCAAAACGTCACAGAGAAGCGCTCCTCTCCAATAGGCACAGCTCACGGCGCCAGAACCCCAATTGAACCCCTTTGATCGTCGAATCATATTCAGCTCCTTTCTTCGATTACCATCACAGGCTATAGCGATGGGGATGTTAATGCTATCGAATTGACTTGACAGTTCGTCCATGGAAAGGGCCATTTTCCCATTTTCTATGTCGATTTTATGGGTCTCCCAGAGAAGGTGAGGAACATGACCGTGATTTCGGACGTAGTGTAGTCGATTCGGCGTGATCAGACCAGCGTCGAAAAGAGTAGTTAGATCCGCCTCGCCGTTCAAAGGGTGCTTACCAGTGAGCCGAATAAAATCGGAGGAACGAGGAATCCAGTTGTCGGGAGTAAACTGATCAGCTTCGTCGATAGAGCGAATATATGGATCTCCAGCAGCTGGAGACGCCCCCTTCCCATCATTCGCCCGCAGCTCTTTCACGTAATTTTTCTCCTCTTTCAAAAGACGCAACAGAGCGCTTTCCTGGGCGGTATACTTAGGTTTTGGCTTCTGTTTTTCATCACCAACAACCGCACCGTTCATCCCCTCGTGCTCGTCCTGGGTCCTGTCGGGTGTTTGGGTGGCATATGCTTTGTGGTGCGTAGTATTCTGGCCACGACCTCTTCTCCATTCGTGCTCTTTCTTAGGTTCTTCTTTCCCTTTCTTTTCTTCTTTCTGGATATTCGCTGGCCATGGCTGTTCATACTTGACGAAGTTTTCTGTGGTATGTAGAACGTATCGCCAACCCTGTGAGTGTTTTGCGGGTGTACGTAGATGATAGTCCTGTCACGAAGACACGAGTAAGTCCCCATTTAAACCAAGTAAAATGATTCCAAGGGAAAGTATATATACCTCCTGCTTCGTCATAAAATCCCTCACACTCAACAACTCCCCCTTCCCAAGCTCATCCTTCAACTCCTGAGCCTTCTTCTGAGCTTGCTCCCAAAACTCCTGATCCTCCTTCCGTTCATCCCCAACATGCGTCAACCCCGCAACCCGATTTTCTCGATCGCGAAACCCGATACGGTGAGCGCGTGCAGAGTGCCATTCCGGTTCCTCGAGAATTTCCTGCTTCGTTGAGCCCGGGTGGTCGCTTCTCCAGGTGTGGTGGGGGATTGTGGACATTTTTTTTCACAACGTCGAGGTATTAGATACAGTACCTAAAAATCTATAAGTTACACGACAGGAATACAATTAATCACAGAACATATTCCAAGTATTCTTCAGAAGAGTATGTTGTACAATAATTAATTGTTCGGCCGCGGAGTTCATGATATACTCCCTAACCCGGGTATCAGCATGACGTCATGGGCATATATATATCCCCCGGATTTTTTCGTTCAAACAAGCTTTCGGATAAGCTTAAACAACTCAGCGGAATGAATTTATGCCAATTGTCTTTCGGAGTTTAAGAAGGAGTGGCTCGGGGGTCCAGGCGTCAGAGCATTGAGCAGCCATGCGTAGGCCAGCTTCCCCGCCAACTAACCACGCAGTGCGAGAAATGTTATTCTCGGGTGGATGGGGTCATATCTCATCTCTATTTCATCTAGTAGAAGGCTTGGTTGGTATCCCACCTGCATAGTGAGGTCAGAATACATTTTAAAACCAATAATGATATTTCATCGATTTTCTCTTGTCTTTGTCTGTCGCAGCTTCATATCTCCTCTTTTCTACTCCACTGGAAAAATAACCCTTTCGTCATCAAACATCAGTTCAACCCAGATGTCTTCACCAAGATTCATTCTGACTAACGAACAAGAGCTGTTAGATAGATGTCTCTTCGATTCAGTCTTTTTCTCTATCTCAAAAAAAAATCTGACAAGGGTGGGGTTCGAACCCACGAGAGTTTCCTCAAACGAGATCAAGATATTGCAACTGGTCACATGACCTGATGACTAAGCTTAAATCGTTCGCCTTAGACCACTCGGCCACCTTGTCGGTCATCAGAGTTAAAACTTTCTTGAGATTACTAGTCGGTTTCCCTCAAAAACCTGTCCGATGAACAGTCGGTGCAAGCAAGATGCATCGACAGACAAAGATTGCACTCTCTCGTTTTTGACGTTTTTTTCTCAATTATCTTATCTGTCAGGTGTGGAAGGTGGTGTCAAAAGTTTTGATGTTCTTTTTTTGTCGAAAGTTGTCGAAAGTAAGAAAATTGCACTCATTTTGCACTGAAAATCGAGACAGTGCAATCTTTGTCTGCCGGTGCATCTTGCTTTCCCCGATTGCCAGGTGGCGGGTTTTTTGAGATGAACCGACTAGTATGCTCTGAAACTTGTAAACACAGGTTGAACTCGACGCCTTCAAGCATGTTTATTCAAACTATCCTCGTCGAGCATCGGGGTATATTCAACAAATGAATATGTCGCCAGCGAGGGGCGAGAGTTAGGGCTTCCCTGCCGAGAAGAAATGCTTGATTCTCCCACCATCGCAGATCATCAATATGTCTGAAACATGTTGGGGACGTGGGGAAAGAAAGAAAGAAAGAAAGTTGAGATCGAATGTTGCATTTCGATCTCAGGTTCAAGTCGTGCTGCACAGTGCGCTGCAGGCCCCTCTTAAATAACAGTATCTTATCGTCCACTTTAATATATTAATAATTCACCGACGAGGGCGTTGAACCCTGTCTTGAGTGTGTCTTGAAATATGTAATAAGGAGGGGAAGAAAGAAATCCCCGATACCCTTTTGTAGGCTCGTCCCACGATCGGGTCCCTTGCGGGAAGGATGTCTTACATACTTCCTTGCTGGAGAGGGATTGATTGATTGTTCCGGGGTGAGACAAGGAGGGCCCCATGATGGGTCGTTTTCTGCGTGAAACATTCTCCACGCGAGATACAGAGATATGATATCTGGGGAAAAATGCGTTTATCCCAGGCATGGCATGGTCTATGCTTTTCTCGTGGTTGATTCTGAGAAGAAAAAAATTCATCTTCACCTGTACGTTGATGGAAGACGAGGATGGCTGGCATGGCGGCGGAAGGTTCCGTCTCCCGAACAGCTCATCTCCGCACAAACCCACACTCATTTTAAAAAGAGAAAGGCTGTGCCCAAGAGCGATGGGCAGCGACGACGAGGGGGCCGAGGGAAGAATCCTTTCGGTGGGAGTGAATAATTTCGTTGTGCGCCCAGAGAGAACTCGGGGCCAGCCCTCTGTGCCCATGGGCGTCGAGGGCACAGCAGTCATCTGCCACCGAGGTGAGGGTGAGGGAGAATTTTCAGTCCCTTGCTGTTTCTCATTCTTCTCGTGTTTCAAGAGGGAGGCACTCGGGCCACGTATCAGAGTTGACCAGGGGGGGAAGAAGAGTCCAACGGCTAAAGAGAAGGATGTGAGTATCCGTTGGTGGGTGGTACTTAAGAGAGTGACAACACACAGTGAGAGTGATGGAAGAGAAGAGGAGGAAGAGGAGGTGAGGCATCTTCTTCGCCTGATAGAGACAGACAGCCTTGGGTCATCCCTTCCTCTTCCTCTTCTTCGTCTTATCTCTTCAATGTTTGGTCGATAACCTAAAATTACCTCTGGATGATGTAATGATTTGTTTGGGGGAAAGCGCCAACGAGGGCCCCACTAAAGAGGATTTGGGACCTGAGACTAGACCGAAAGAAGACTAGCGGGAGGGGCGGGAGGAGGGTTTTTGTGCCTGAATAGGTGGATGACTAAGATGGGATCTGACTCGCCAAGAAAAACGGAACCAGGGGGGGATGAAAAGGTAAAACGGCTGAGAGATAAATTACATGAACAGGCGGTGGCGGTGGAGATGGGAAGAGGGCGGTGTTGGAGGATTGTGATGAGAGATATAATTGTCAAGGGATTCTCTCAGTCTCTTCCTCTGGGGAGGAGTCCCTTACCCTGGTGAGGAGACAGACAGCGAAGAGTAGCCGGTGACCCGAGATAAGAACGAACATATGAGGATCTTCAGGTAGCCCAACGTTAAGCAGAGAAGAACAGCGACTATCCAAAGATATTCATGAGCCCAAGCAAAGTTGAAGTTTGGTACATAGACGTAACTTGTTCTTACCGAGATCTGCTGGGAAAAGAGGATCTCTGCCATCATCACCGGCAAATCACAAGTACCACCCGGTGCACGTCCTTCTTAGTCATCCTGTTCCTGGTAACAATACCCATACTGTGGGAGGTAACAAGGATTACCATACAGTCAAATGCAGCTAGTGCTGTTTTTGGAAACATTCACCCCCCATAGTCTTCCTCATTGGGCCAAGAGAGGGGCATGTGTGGTGACCGGTGATTGGTTACCCTCTGGTCATGTAATTTCGTTTCAACCCTCCTGGCGCTTATCTGACATCCAATACCATTCTTACCATACACACCACCCTTCCGTCCCTTACTTTCCCCCCCTTGTACTGTCATCCCCATTACCTCCTAACCTCTTTGGTCTGTCTCTCTCTTTTTTCCTCCTTCTTCATCCTCTTTCTTCCTCTTCGACTTCATCTTCTCTCTCTTCTTCTTCTTTCTTTCTCTTCCATCTTTCTCTATCCTCGTTCTTCTTTCTTCATCTTCTTCGACTCAAAGTCGTCCACTCCTTTAGGTCGCACATCCTTTGTTGTTGCGCTCCTCGTCAGTCGCTCGTTCGCTCTGTTTCTGCTTGGATCTCGCAAAAAACGATCCCTTAACGATTTCTCTGATAGTATGTTTGTCCAACATTTCATCTATATCCCATCAATCCTCTCCTCTACCTGTTACTCTTGCACTGGGTTGATGGAAACTAACATTGTCGATGGAATTAGCTGTGGTAGATAGCCTGTGAGTAGAAAAACATCCTGTCGCAAACACTCATTCCGGACCCTGCGCCCAACAACACATCGATCCATCGCGTTAAAGATCGATCGTACCGCATTCCAACGCCTACCTTAATCTACCTTATTTCCCCGGGTTGTGTGCGATTAAAATACTTACGATCTTTCCCATCGCAGATTTCAAAGATCTCGTCACATCCCGTTTTACGCGACGTTCCAACACAAACTTTCACTTCGCCCATACATATCAACTCGCCTTAACCCCGGGTCAAGGTGTACATATTAGCCACTCTCTCGATTTGATCTACGGTCCACAGAGTCCGGATCCGATCAGAACCAACAATGCAGTTCACTCTCCGCACTGCCGCGGCGGTGTTGGCTGCCACTGCAGCCCCTGCCTCCGCCTTCTGGCGTCTCCCATGTATGGGTGATACTGGTGTGGCCCGTATGGATCCTCTTGTTAATCCAGGCACCATCTCTGATCACGCCCATATCGTCCACGGAGGTGGAAGTGAGTTTATCTTTTATCTCTGCGACCTGTGCATCACTAACACATTTCAGACTTCGGAAAGTCCTCCACCAGAGACACCCTGTTGCAGTCTGACTGCACTTCCTGCGCTGTTAAGCAGGATAAGTCTTCCTACTGGGCTCCTGCCTTGTACTTTGTCCATGACAATGGAGCCGCTGAGTTGGTTGAGGAAGTCGGTGGTATGCTTGTGTAGGTTTCTGTCTTTCTCCCAGGCATATCAACAGTGAACTAACACACTCAGTTACTACCTTCTCAACGGAGACGGCCCCAAGGCTTTCCCTCCGGGATTCCGCATGCTTGCTGGTGACAAGAACCAGCGCAACTTCACCGGTCCCTTCCCCGACCCTCCTCTCTCCAGCTGGTCCGGCGACGAAATCTCCCAGTTCTCCCTTAGCCAGAAGGCTCTTGGATTCAACTGCTTGAACTACGATGCTCCCGCCGAGCCTTCCCTCTACCGTCACTTCCTCCCTGAGAAGTCTTTCCTCGACCAGAACTGCATTGACGGTGTTCGCTTTGAATTGATGTTCCCATCTTGCTGGAACGGAAAGGACCTCGACTCTGAGGACCACAAATCTCACGTCGCTTACCCATCCTTGGTCAAGGACGGTATGTGCCCCGAAGGTTTCGAGACTCGCTTGGTCTCTCTCTTCTACGAGACCATCTGGAACACCTACGCTTTCAAGGACATGCCCGGAAAATTCGTTCTCGCCAACGGTGACCCTACCGGCTGCGGATACCACGCCGATTTCATCGAGGCTTGGGAAGATGGTGTTCTCGAGAGCGCTGTCAGCCAGTGCACTAACCCCTCTGGATTGGTCGAGGACTGCCCCGTCTTCAACCTCCAGGACCAGAACTCTCAGTTGCAGTGCAAGTTCCCTCTCCCCGTCGATCTCCAGAGCGAGGATTACAAGACCTGCCCCAAGGGTATTCCCGGTGGTGTTAAGATCACCCCTGGCCCCGCATACGCTATCACTCCCGAGATCCCAGAAATTCCAGAGATCCCCGATGTGATTCCCGAGGTCCCTGTCGCCAACGACAAGCCCACCGTTCGCCCTCCTCCAGCTAACCCTGAGGCGCCCGCTTTCTTCGCCACCGGTGTTCCCGATGCCAACCAGCACAACGCCGACGCGACCAGCAACCCCAACGCGATCGCCACCTCTTACTCCACCTTGGCTGATGGAACTGTCAAGAAGGTTGTCGTTGTCGAGAAGGAAGTTACCGTCACCGTTGACTGCTGCGCGACTCCCGTCCCCACCGCTGATGAACTCCCCGTCCTCGGAGAAGTCAAGAGGGATGTCCACGTCCACGGACACGCCAAGCGTGGTGGCAAGGCTGGTGTTGGAGGATGGTTCTAAAGCACTCGTGGCTTTATCTCACACTGAGACAAGAGTTTGGGGTTGAATTAACGAATCACTTATGTTTCACAGTGAAGAGTTTAGTTCCCTGGGCAGTTTTTCCAATCCTGCATCCATCTCCTATTTCTTTGTATCTCTTTGTGTGTGGTCTTCTTTTTCTCCCATTCAAGTGTCTTATACCTGATGCCATCTTCTCGAGGTGTGGGTATCTATCTCATGTGTGTTTAAGTATTATCTTTTTTTATCAAACTTTGAAATGGAAGGGTGTGTTTAGCCTGATGAAGTGAGCTCTTTCTTTTTA